CCGGCTTGAAGTGGTTTCCCTACTGGGTTCACCAGCTGGCCCAATGAGTCTCAGCTCTGGACACATTGTTCCAGCGCCCCTGTCCTGACAGTGTGAACAAGGACACATAGTGCCAGCAACTGAGCCTCGCAGTGCAGAACGGCACTTAGTTCCCACTAAGTTTTTCCACCCATGTGCAGAATAAATTGTGTTATGTGCATCCGGCTTGAAGTGGTTTCCCTACTGGGTTCACCAGCTGGCCCAATGAGTCTCAGCTCTGGACACATTGTTCCAGCGCCCCTGTCCTGACAGTGTGAACAAGGACACATAGTGCCAGCAACTGAGCCTCGCAGTGCAGAACGGCACTTAGTTCCCACTAAGTTTTTCCACCCATGTGCAGAATAAATTGTGTTATGTGCATCAAAGCATGTGTGCATGTGGACCACCAGTAGAAACACATGCTGCTGGCTATGGGCACACCTACAGGACCATTGGTTGCTTTTTCAGTTTTGTTTTTGGGGGTTTTTTGAGTTACAGACTAACACAGCTACCCCCTCTGAGACTGCTAATCAGCTGGGCATCATTTAATCTCTTCTGGGTGGCTGCCCAAGCCCTCAGTTGCCAGGGAACACTGCTCAGAACTGGGCAGGATGGTTCAGTAAAGAGAGTTGCTGCCCTTCAGTGACTGCGATCTCCTTGAAGATAGATGTTGGCAATTGACATGTGCCAGGTAAAACAAGACCAGTTGCTTGAATTTGAAGATCAAAAGAAAACCAAAAAATGGTTTACTGTATTTGTGTTTTCTGGGAGAAGCTTGTTAGGCAACAACACATGGTCTGCAAAAGATGACTGAGAAGATAACTGAACTAGAAGGAGCCAGGAAGTTAAGGAGGACTTTGTAGTAGTGTGGGTGGGTGGGCGGGGGGGTGTTAGGAGAAAGGGCTTTAGATTAGGGAGTTCAGTAGTGGGCATTTCTTCAGGGACAGAGAAATAGGTCAAGGCCAGGGCACCCAAAATAGAGTGCTCCTGCTCCAGAACATAGTTACCGCTGGACTCTGAAGAGAGGGATATGCTGCAATCCTTTACAGGCTCGGGATAAGAGGTTCTGGATTGCAGATTCTGTGCATTTGTCTACAGCAGGGAGGATGAGTCATTGGTACTGGAGAGAACAGGAGCCGTAAGCGCACACAAACAGACAGATCCTGTAACCTCTTGGTTTGAGCACTCATGGGTGGGGGGGGGGAGAGGGAAGGGGAGATGCCTGAGATCCCTTCTCACTACCCCAGTATTGTTTTAATTAGTTATCCACAGTGAACAACTTCAACAGAAATGCCTGAGGGAGACCCACATCTGACTATCGCAAAACGTGGAAAATCCCTGATCAGGTGGGAGGCATACTTGAACTAGGTGAGTGCTTCAACCATTGGGCTAAAAGTTATGAGGAAGCCCCTCTTGTTTTTCCCTCCCCACCCTCCTCAACAGGCAGCTGAATAGCTATCTTCTCCCAGTTTATTAATCACTCTGGGACTTGGATGACAGTTGCCTGGGTGGGTGACTGGAATCAGGCATAAGTGCACATGCAGAACCATATGCACCTAGAAACTTTTAATGCAAAAACATAAGTGCCAAGTGAATTTAGGCACCTATAGGGATCAGCAGGAGCTTTGTGCAAAATGGGATTTAGGCACCTAACACAGGCCCTAGCCACTTACTTTGGTGTATAAGTGGGAGCTGAGCTTTTTAGAAAATCTTGCCCAATATGAAGATAATATTTGCTGAACCAGGTTTATGTGCCTGTGCCTTCTAATTATTTTATAGGCAAGCACAGTTCCCAGAAAATTTCCTGCATGCCCACATTGATTAAGAAAAAGGAAAGATTTTCGTTTTGAGAAGTCCAGATATTAAACCCTAGTACTCAGGATTGCCACCAATTTATAAATCTCAATCTTCATAATTACCGATCTCAACACTATGTTCTGCTATTTTAATGTCTAAAGTTCAGCAAACCACTATTGCATGTTGGAGTCTGTTTACCTTCCTATTGGGAATACCTGAAGCTGCACTACTTGTTTCCATGCAAACTGTTTTGTATTGTCTATTCCCCAAACACCTAGCCAATACCTCTATCTGTTTACATGTCTATCCTGAACTCTCCCATCCTCCTCCAACCAGGGAAAGCGCTTTGGCAAAGCACTTAAGTATATTCCTAATTTTAAGAACATCTGTTCTTCATCCTTACTTAGCAAAGCACTTGAGCATAGATTTAGTTAAGTGTAATCCGATTTGATTATTTACCTGTGGCTCTCAAAGTGTTTTATGATTGGGAGCACGCAGGAGACACTCCTCTCAGTCTCCTGGTTTTTAAAATAGAGATCTTCTTGGGATGTGTGTGTGTGTGGGGGGGGAGATACAGAGAAAATTGTGGGGAGAACCCAGACACAATATATATCCCCAGACTGCCCACACTGTGATCAGATGACAGGCACCAGAGTCAAGTTGCAAAAGTTTATTAATAAGAACTTATTCAATATTTGGATTGGCTCTGGAGACTGAGCCAGTGTTGGCTTGTAGAGAAACTGCTCAGCATCAGAACTTGAATTGTTGAAGATTATGCTACTCTTGTCTCACAACTGTGTAGCTTGGCTCACAAGAAGTGCCACAGAGTGGCCAGAAAGACTTCTCTCCTGCTGTAGCTTGTAGCCCAGAGAGAAGTGCACTGGCGTACGTACTGGGACTAGGAGTGGTGGGGGCACTGCCACACCCTATAGTTTGAAGTGGCTTCCTTTATATACAAGGTTTACAGTTTGGTTCAATATCGCTCAGCCAGGGGCACCAACAGGACTGGCAGGCCCCTGGGCAATGTGGGCTGGGCCCAGCTCCATGCTCCTGGAAGGGGCAGGACCTCGGGTGGAAAGGGCAGGGCCTTGAGCAGAAGGGGTGGGGCAGCCAGCGCTCAGTGCTGCCTGGACCACTGTGGTGCTCCCTCCTGTTGGCCCTAAGAGTGGGCAGTGCATCACCCAGCACACAGGAGCGGATTCAAAAGGGCCCGGGGCTCCGGCTGCTACTGTGCCCAGGGCCCTTTGGAATTGCTGAGTCCCAGGGCAACTGTCCTCTTTGCCAATCTTCTCCCCTCCCCTTCCTTGTCAGGGGGGCCTGCTCTCAGGAGCCCTGCTATACACATTGTTCCAGCGCCATTGTGCACTAGGTTAGGCTCCACCAGGAGTTCATGCTGCTTTTACCTGTCCTGTACATTTCCAGGCAACCTGGAATCAACCAAGGTCTCATATGCCTGTTCCGCAGGACAGGCACCTATCACGCCCCATTTTATATGAGAGGACAGTGAGTCACATCAGCTAAAGGTGAGACTAGAATTCAGTAAAAACCATGTCTCATTCACCGAACCATACTGCTCCTGGAAATGTAGGCACTAATCCTGTCTTTAGTTGCCGGCAGCCTGGGAGACATGGCTGAATTTCCCTGGGCAATTGTCATACCTGTGCAGTGTACTGCCCCCATATAGGAAGAAGAGAATATGCCCTTGTGCTTAGGATCACAGCCTGGGATTGAGCAGTAAAGGGGATCTAGCCTATGCAGTACTACACCCTGGCAACGTGGTGGCAGCAAAAAGCCATGTGGTAAGGGGCAAGGGTGGGCAGGAAGCAGCTATGAAGAAAATCAGATGATTCAGTTTGCCATTGTGGGCTGTATTGCCCAGATGGGTGTATTCCTAGTATCAGACTATTTGCCATATGTATTAACAGCCAGAAAATCCTCTGGCAACTGGGTTGCATATTTTTGTGCCCTTGCTGAATAAAGAATCTAGTGCAGGGGTGGGCAAGATATGGCCCACAGGCTGGATCTGGCCCACCAAGCCAAGCCGTTTGGTTTGGCCTGCTGCCACCCTGCTACACCCCCAGATCAACTGACACCTGGGGTTAGGGGAGTGCACAAAGTCATTCGCTGTTCAAAATGGGTGGCGGTTCCCTCTAGGTGTTGTGCACTCCTGGGAGGGCAGGGGTGAGAGACTTCACACACTCCAACCCCTAGGCCCCAATTGTCCTGGGGCCAGGGGAGTGTGAAAAGTCTCCTTCCCCCACCAGGGGCATGTGGTACCTAGAGGCCTTCAACCTTTTCTACATGAGGCCCCACCCCTTCCAAGGGCAGAATTGGCTCATGGTCACTACCCCCAATCTGTGAAGTGGTCCCCCTGCAAAGATTATTGCCCACCCCTGACCTAGCATAATCTTCCTGCCTACTTGATTACTTGAGCAGAGCCAAACCCAGCCTCAGCATCTCCTTCACCCAGCTCCTTCCTGGCATTCCCTCTGGTGTTCTCTGTGCATATTGCACTTACTCCTGTTTTACTAGTTCTCCAGGGAACAGCAGTCTGAAGGTGAGGAATAATATCCCAAGCTCTCTTGAATGAGGAATGTGTCTCTCTGAAAACTCAGGGCATATCCCCAATCTCACATAATGTTCCCACTGAGGTTGTTAACATCGATGTACAGGAGACAGGCTGACTGTCAACAGCTCCACAGTTGCTGGTTGTAATTGTGATCTCCATTCCCAGGACATATACTCTATTTCTTGCTTCCTCATCCAGCCCATAAAAGCAGGTTGCCCCAAGAACAAGGAGCAGGGAGTCCCATTGTGTGTGTAATGTGCCCAGAACAAGGGGCACATTAAAATCCAGATCGGCAAAGGCAGCTCATTTAATTTGTTTTTAGACACTACTCCATTTAAAGCATGGAAAAAATGGCTCATTTGTAATGGAGAGTAGAAAGCCCTGCTGTGTGCGCATCATGACAAGAGATCAGCCTGCCTTACTGGATCCTAGGGGGTGCCTCTTGGCACACAGAGAAGGATCTGCTCCAGCACCTTATTTCCTGCTTCTTTCTCACCCTCTTTACCTGTGCCCAGGTGCCTGTATCCAGGGATGAAAAGTCTCCTTCCCCAAAGGCAAGTACTTACTCTAATCCAGACAGGTGCCTCTTTAAATAAATAAGAAAGATGCTGAAAGACCATCTGATAGCCAGAGTCAAAACGTCTACCAGGTTCAAGCGGGGAACTGGCTTGTTCTCTGCTCTCATCCTCGTCTTGGTCTCAGCCTTGTGCCGATTTGCAGGAAATCATAGGTCCAGATTGCTGATTGTGGGCTTTTTACTATTGATTTTATTATTAAGTGTGGACAAATTTGTACCAAAAAATCAGAGGTGGGAGGCCAAAGGAGCTGGCGCCACAAATGAGCTCACTTCCCCTTCTCCCATAGGCCCCCCGGTAATACATGTGTTACATTTATACCCTAAAAACCTATACACCTGTCTCCTCTGAACTTGCAGCCATAGATTCCAAGGCCCTTGTGATCATCTAGTCTGACCTTCTGTATAATACAGGGCAGAGAACTTGTCCCAAATAATTCCTAGAGAATATCTCACGCTTGTTATATTTACTCCTTAAAACACAAGAATTAGGGGTCACCTAATGAATTAATAGGCAGCATGTTCAAAATGAACAAAAAGAAGTATTTCTTCACACAACAGTCAACCTGTGGCAAACTCTCTGCCAGAGGACATTGCGAAGGCCAAGACTATAACAAGGGTCAAAAAAAGAGCTAGATAAATTCACGGAGGAGAGATCCACCAATGTCTATGGGCCAGGATAGGCAGGGATGGTGCTCCTACCCTCTGTTTGCTAGAAGCTGAGGGGGACAGCATGGGGTGGATCACTTGCCTGTTCTGTTCATTCTCCCTGGGGCACCTGGCATTGGCTTCTGTCGGTAGACAGGATTCTGGGCTAGATGGACCTTCAGTCTGACCCAGTACGGCCGTTCTTACATGCTAGTTAAGATGGTAATGACAAATGGAATTGACTCGCACAGAAAAGGAAATTAGCTTATTGCTTCTTCTCCTAGAGCAGCTGTGCCTCATGTGGTTTTCTGGTAGCATAGGTATTGTTTAGAAGCACTGAGAAGCCTGAGACACAGCTGTCAAAGCCAGTCCTGCCTGCCCAGAACTCCTGGAAGCCTGCTCAGTATAATTTCTTCCCTTGAGACCTTCTAGCAGACAGAGACTCATTGGGAGCTGGGGTAGCAATCCAGACACACTCTCCTCTCTGTGGTTTCAGGATGGTCTTACTTGTGATGTCTGTCCATGCCTTGTTTCTCCTACTGCTGCTGCTTCACTCAGGTGAGTGGATGAGGGTAGAGATAAGGGTGTTTTGTGTTCTCGAGTTCAGAAGAAATGCTGACGAGGCTTTTATGCATCTGTCTGAATATTCAACTATTGAAACATACAGAGACACTTATTTCAATGTGCATTTGAATGATCATGTCCAGATTTGGAGGGAAAAGGAAATTATCTTTGTAGAAATTTAGAATCACAGATGTTAGTAAGGTGGACCTATTAAGTCACATCTAGTCCATCCCCATCTGGGCACCAGCTCAGGATTATGCCCTGAATATTTTTTCAGTGCTTTGTCCAGTCTAGTTTTAAATTGTAACAAGGAAAGGGTCTTCCACCCATTTTCCAGAGCAACTATTCTATAGCTCCAGTCATTCACTTTCACAAAGCATTTCCTGAGATAGTGAATTAAATTAAACATAGGGAATTTAGACTTTCTCCTAGTTACACCATTGTGCGTCACTAGAGATGATTCCCCCCTCCTCCTATCACAGTAGGTTGCTTACTAGCAAATGGATAGTTTTATAAATAAATTGGAAATACAGGTAGTTCTAAATTATTGTAAGTTTTTAAAATGTTGTAAAGTACTTGGAATGCACAATAAACATCAAATAAGTGATTTCAACAGGTTGTTACCATGGCAGATTTTACAAACCGCATAGCCTAGAAAAAGAATTTGTTAATCTGAGGTTAAGTTTATAAGGTTGCCCTGGTAAATTAAAAGAAACTAATTTAGAACACAGTAGTTTTCTAGTGGGAGGCCAGTAAATTCTACAATACAATCAGGCTGTGTCTAGACTGGCATGATTTTCCGGAAATGCTTTTAACAGAAAAGTTTTCCGTTAAAAGCATTTTCGGAAAAGAGCGTCTAGATTGGCACGGACGCTTTTCTGCAAAAGCCCTTTTTGCGGAAAAGCGTCCGTGCCAATCTAGATGTGCTTTTCCGCAAAAAAGCCCCGATCGCCATTTTCGCGATCGGGACTTTTTTGCGGAAAACAAATCTGAGCTGTCTACACTGGCCCTTTTGCGCAAAAGTTTTCCGCAAAAGGACTTTTGCCTGAACGGGAGCAGCATAGTATTTCCGCAAAAAGCACTGATTTCTTACAGTAGGAAGTCAGTGCTTTTGCGGAAATTCAAGCGGCCAGTGTAGACAGCTGGCAAATTTTTCCGGAAAAGTGGCTGATTTTCCAGAAAAATTGGCCAGTCTAGATACAGCCTCAGAGTAAAAAAATTTGTGCTTGTGAAAGAATAGGAATTATGGTTAAAAAAAAATAACCACAAAATCCTTTATCTCTGCCCCCACGCTATTCCAATTGGTACCCATCTGGAGCTGGCCTGTCTCCCACGGTATGTGTGAGTCTCCATCTAACGTTTGGACAGTGGGCAGTCATGTTTGGTATCTGGTTGTCTGTGGTGTAGATATTACTATAAATACAGTAGATAAAACAGGTTGTTTTATGGGTAGGGTGATCATGTGTGTCTGGAAAATAGAGTGGTCCCCATTTTCAGGGCCTGTCCCTGACATAAATCCATCCCAGTGAATACTGCTAGGAGAGGTAGCCCCTGTACACAGGTGGTGAGTTGGTTTCATCAGCTCTGTACCATCCCATAGCAACTACATTCACAGGCAGTATTCTGGGTCTAGGATGGAGGCACATGGGCAAGGGCTGTGGCAAGAGCAGACCAGCATCTTGTGATTCTGAGCCCCTGCAAAGCCTTCAAGGGGCTACTGAAGCAGCAGTGCAACTTAGTCTGTCAGGGACCACACAAGGCCCTGAATAGGGGAGATGCAAACTGCCTCCCCCTCTGTTCCTGTGCTAGGATGAGTCTCCCTTCTCCCCCCCCCCCCCCCCCCCCCAGAGTCCTTAAAGGGGTTGACAAGATGCTGAGATGGAGAAATGAACTGGCCCTTACCCAACCTGCTGATGCTGCTTGTTTCACACAACTCCCAACCCAGTGAGGAGATGCTCTTACAAGCCAGAAAACTGCCAGTTGTGGAGGCCCAGGCCATCTGCTTACCAGCTTACAAACCTCATGTGCTTGCAAAGCAGCAACAGAGCTGCTCTTTGCCCTGCCGCACTGCCACAGAGGAAGCGGGGAAAGGCAGCTCACTCCCACATGAATGCCCTTCCCACCACCTATGGTGCCTCAGTGTTTTTCACAGCAGTAGCTCTGGCCCCCAAGTCTGGGAGCAGTAAGTGTCCAGGCTACAGTCCCTTAGGTTTAGGGAAATAGTGGCACAGGGCCTTGGAATAAGTAGTAGAGACCATGTGAAACGGGAAGGAGGTAACAGTGGCACATGGAACATAACACAGAGACTGGGAGGGTAGCTCAGGAGAAGCAAGCCTGTAAATCTAATGTTCAAGGCCAGGTCCAGAGTGGCTGCTGCCTGAGACTATATCTATACTGCACAGTTATTTTGGAATAAGTTATTCCGGAATAGTTATTCTGAAATAGCACATCTACATTAGGGAAGCCTGCCTCTGACTAATTTTGAGGCTTCCCTTCAGTCTCAATTTGGAGCCCCAGGAGGAACTCAGAATGGCCCTGATGAGAGACTATTTCAAAATAGCAGAAGTGGAGCATCTACACACACCTTATTTCAAAATAAGTGTTGTTCTTTGTAAAATGAGGTTTACAAAAGTCAGAATAAGCCGTCCGTTATTTCAAAATTACTTCAAAATAATGGAATTGCTGCATAGAGGCTTACATTGTTATTTTGGAATAATGGCCGTTATTTCAAAATAACTTTGCTGTGTAGACACACCCTGAGTGAACACATGACTAACTCTGTGCGCTATTCCCAGAGGCTGCAGAAGAACTAAGGGCACAGCCCTTCAGCAGTGTTACCTTACCCTGCTATTTCTCCTTCGTTGATGGCACAGATGACCTTTTCTTCTCCTGGGAGAGGGAGGATATCAAGGAGGAATATGAGGTGGAAGATGATCGGGAATACTATCAATACTTTTTAACACTTCATGATTTCTATGAGTTTTCGCCAAAGGTGGTTTACCATTTTAGCAACAATCAGGAGCAGCTAGAAGAGCAAAGCTCCCAGTACGAGGGGAGAGTAAGGGTAGACTCAGAGGCCATCTCCCAGGGGACACTCTCACTCTTGTTGGAGCATGTGAATTTTCTTGACCAGGCAACATACAGATGCACAGCTATCAACTCAAAGGGAAGGGGAGAAAGGATAATCAAGCTCATTGTGGATGGTAAGAATGTTTGTCTGTATTTCTACTTCACATTGCATGTCTGTGTCTGATCGCTTCCTGAGAACCCAGGGTCAGACTTCCATGGGGCCAAAAGGGTGCTACCTGTTATCTACCAGAGAGACTGGAGAATGAGACCGTACACCTAACCAGCTTGTTATAACAAGGAGGAGACCTGTGGCACCTTAGAGACTCGCAGATTTATTAGGGCATAAGCTTTCGTGGGTGAAACCCACTTCATCAGATGAACTCATGACCAGCTACTCCACAGTGGAGTGAATTCATCTGATGAAGTGGGTTTCACCCACGAAAGTTTATGCCCTAATAAATCTGTGAGTCTCTAAGGTGCCACAGACTCCTCCTTGTCTTTGCAGATACAGACTAATGCAGCTAACCCTCTGAGACTTATTTTTTGCATTCTGTCTTTGAGAAGACAGAGCCCTGAAGAAAGGGACAGAAATCTAACTTGGGCGTGGCTGATTGTCACTCCCCAGCTCTCGATTAGAGCCCCAGTCTACACTAACTGCTAGCCCAATGGTTAGAGGACTCACTGAGGATATAGAAGGCTAGGGTACAAGTCTCCTATGTGCTTGGTGTGGGGCAGGAACTTGAATCTCCCACATCCCAGGCACATGCTCTAGCTCTGGGCAAATGGAAGGGAGGGAGGGGATCACCATCACCTTCCCTGGCATCTTTTGTGTGATTTCCAATGTGCTCAGAGCAAACTTGTGGGATGAGTCCTGCAGGCAATACAGTTGGGGAATGCTCAGCTCATGAGGCCTACATATAAGTTGGGTGCTGAGTTCCTGGACAGTGTCAGGATTTCGACGGGAGCATGCAGGCCCAAACACTGAGAGCATCGTCCACTCAGGCACTGGGCAGTTAAGTGCCTACAGCGACAGTTAAGTCCTTTGTGCGAATCCCACCCCTGGGCTCCTAAATCCCATTAACTTTCACCGAGGCTTACAAGGAGGTTGCTGGGCTAATGAGGCTGACAAAGCCTTCTGAGTGGGATTGATGGGGCAACATGGACTGTGGAATCTCTAACTACCTAAGTATGAATTAACAAAAAATGTAAGTTAGGGAGGCTTCCTGTTAAATATTATATACATCATTTAAAATTCCACCAAGAGGATTTCAAAAGACATTTCTCAAATGCTGATCAATTTCCTTCAGCCTTCCCAGCAAGTCTGCTATCCTGTGAAAGTGATCACACAACTCAGAGCCCAAAGAGTAGGATGTGTCACACCGGATCCAATCTAAGGTCCCCCAGGCCAATCTCCAGCCATGGCCAGCACTAGGTGCTTCTGAGAGAGGTACAAGAACCCCCAATAGGTAAGAGGTGGGATAATCTGTTCATCCACCCCATGGAGAAGTCGTCTTCTACTTCTCCAGTTAGAGACTGGCTTCATGCTTCAGGGATTAAGTTTATATCCCAGTACGGTGGCTCAGTCCCTGCCTCAGCAAATTAGAGGCAACCTGAGAAAGGCTCGTATGTGTGAGGATGGCTGGCTACACTTTACGTTACAGACATGTATCACAGACATTCCCAGCTTAACATACAGACTGAACAACATTTCTCTTTGATCACTAAGGCGCCCCAGCGCAATTCATGCTGGGAGTGTCATTGGCAACATACTAATTGTTTTGTTTTCCACTGTAATTAGATGCTGAAGAGCCACAGGTGCAGTTCAGCACAGTGAATGATAAAATTGTGGCTCTGTGTGCCTCTGAGGGCTGGTATCACATGCCCAGAGTGGTATGGCACAACCGAAAGGAGGAGGATCTGACCAGCTATTCCACAGTGGAGATCCTAGAGGAGAAGAAAGATGGTGCTCATCGCGTGGTGTCCACCCTGAAATATTCTGTGAAACTCAATGAGATATACACCTGCTATATTAAAGAGGAAGATGAGCATAATCAGCCAGTTAGATCCATTCACAAGATCCCAAGTGAGTGCTTTTTCTGGGAGATGATAGTGGAAAAATGGGATTCTCCCTATGATCTCACTGTAAGACAGTCCAATGGCTAGAACACAACACAGGGATACAGGCAGCCTGGATTCTCAGTGGCACAGTGATGACCAGCTGCTGTGGGACTTCAGGGAAGGTATCTCTATACGTCAGTTCTCCATCTGAAAACTGGGATCATGTTACTGATCCACCTCTATGAGGCACTTTGAGATCAGTGGTGAAGAGCTGTAGAAAGGACTAAGGCCCAGATGCACAAACATATTTAGGTTCCTAACTTCTTCTGAAATCCATTGAAGTTAGGATCCTCTATATCTTTGTGGAGTTGGGCCTACATATTAATTATCACCTGACTGGATGTCTCCATTGTACACCTATTATCCTCCATCTCTGTAAAATGGGATATGGGAGGAGACCTTGCCTAAACCTGTACGAGTTTTCTAATGGTTGAGTTGAAGGTTTTGTGTCCCACAGAAGAGCACGGGAAGGAGGAGGCTCAGATGTGGAGCAGCAGCAGCAATCTCAGCCCCCACCTTTAGTAACATTTGCTATATGTGAACTGACCAATAAAACATGGTGCTGAGGCTCAGGTAGTTGCTGGTGTAGCCTTTGCTTGGGTTCCCCAGCCTTTGGGCAGCAAAATCCATCATACTTGGTTATCCATCAAAGCCTCAGGCTTAGTATTAAGAGCAGAAATTTAGAAAGTTATGTGCACAAAAGCAGCAGAGTCGACAACTTTCAGGTGCTTCCCCAAGCTATGCATAGCAAAAAAAGTCAAAACTTTTCTAGCTAGGCCCCTGTTAGAGAACAGAAATGCGGGACCCATAGGACATTCATTGGGGACTGGAACTTTTCTGGCTACCTATTTTCAGGTCCTAGCACTGTGGAATATTGGCACAGCTCAGACTCACCCACCACACTCTTCTTTTCCTTTTTCAGAGAGGAAGTACCATCACAAGTATGGCCCCTACTAGAGCCCTGCTGGAAAGAACTGTCATCTGCAAATAGGAGCCACCAACAAGGAAAGTAACAGAACACCACTGGTTATCACCTATAACCCCCAGCTAAAACCCCTCCAACACACCATTGACAATCTAAAACCTATCCTGGATAACAACCCCTCTCACAGACTTTGGGAGACAGACCAGTCTTTGCCTATAGAAAGCCCCCCAGCCAGAAGCAAATACTCACTCGCAGCCACATCCCACCCTACAGATACACTTACCCAGGAACCAAGCCCTGCAACAAACTCTGTTGCAACTCTGTCCACACATCTATACAAGTGACACCATTACAGGGCCTAGCCACAGGAGCCACAACATTAGGGGCTCATCCACCTGCACATCCACTAATGTGATATATCTATCATGTGCCAACAATGCCCCTCTGGCCAAATTGGACAGTCTCTGTGTCAAAGGATAAATGGACGCAAATCAGACATCAGGAACAGTAACATACATAAACCTGTAAGAGAACATTTTAACCTCCCTGGACCTGGATTTAAAATTAGCCATCCTTCTACCAAAACAAAACCACACACCCTTCAAAACCTGATTACAAAGAGAAACAGCAGAACTATAATTCATTTGCAAATCCAATACAATCAGATTAGGTCTGAATAACCAATCTAAATCCTTATCTCACTACAAAGGCAGTTTCCCCTCTCTTGGTATTCACACCACCTCTTCAGCTGCTGTGAGTGAGCCATATCCACTCTGACTGAATTGGCCTCTAATACTGGCCCCTACACTTGACAACTTCCTTCTTTTCTATATCTATACACACATCCACCTCCCTCTGCAATTTCCTCTCTAATTCATCTGATGAAGTAGGTTTTATCCATGAAAGCCTATGCCCTAATAAATTGGTTAGGCTATGTCTACACAGAAGCATTATTTCAGAATAACTGAGGTTATTCCAAAATAACAAACAGAGTGTCTACACTGCAAGCCATTATTTCGAAATAATGGCGAGCTGGAGTACTTCTTACTCTGACTTCTGTAACTGTCATTTCACGAGGAGTAACAGAAGTTGAAGGAAGAGTGTTCCTTCATGTGGTCACCTCATCTCAAAAAAGATATATTAGCATTGGAAAAGGTTCAGAGAATGGCAACAAAATGATTAGGGGTTTGGAACGGGTTCCATATGAAGAGAGATTAAAAAGACTTGGACTTTTCAGTTTAGAAAAGACGAGACTTTTCTAAAGGGGGCATATGATAGAAGTCTATAAAATCATGACTGGTGTGGAAAAGTGAATAAGGAAAAGTTATTTACTTGTTCCCATAACATAAAAACTAGGGGTCACCAAATGAAATAATAGGTAGTAGGTTTAAAACAAAAGAAAGTTTTTCGTCACTCAGCGCAGAGTCAACCTGTGGAACTCCTTGCCAGGGGATGTTGTGAAGACTAGGACTTTAACAAAAAAGAGCTAGGTAAATTCATGGAGGTTAGGCCCTGTAGCAGTAAATGCTTTGTATCAAGAATATAACACATATGTATCCATTTGAAACGTAATAACTATGTGAGTTGTGAATGTAACCATTTTGATGATGAGTTCACTCTGTACCATGTTGTAAAATGTTTAAGGAAGAACTGTGAAAAATCTTGTAAAATCTGTGTGTAAAGCATTTATGAGATGTGTTCTCAATATATGTCAATCATCTATGTATACTGTATATGTCAATAAGGCTAGATGCTCAAAATGGCGTCCAAGTCTCCATTTTGATCGAGTCTTAGTCTCTTACTTCCATAACCAAATCAGCTTATGTCATGTACCACACGTATCCCCAGGTGTGTGTTAAATATTTGAACATAATAAGATGCATACCTGTTGTAGTTTAAATGTAATAAGATGCATGTGTCATTATCCACTAGCCAATCAATTTAAAGATATGCAGGAGCATTGGTGTTAGCCAATCAATTTGAATCATGGAACTCATGAATATTCATTAGCCAACTCTATATAAGTCTGTCCTACAGCAGTTCGTTCTGTCCCTAGGCTTATCCTTAGGACTGCTGCGTCGGGTCCGTCGGGTTAGGAGAGAGAGTGAGGTCTATCTTGTCCTAGGTTTAGCATAATTGTATGAGAGAAGTCCTGTAAAGCATTTCTCAGGAGAAGCTAACGGAAGGTTATGCTTCCTCCATTTGGGTTCTAGTAAAGTCTTTCTAGAGTAAAGCTGACGGAAGGTTATGCTTTCTCTATTTTAGGTTAGGTTTAGTTAGCTTATCGTCATCGTGACTGTTCGGCAGGCTCCGTCGGTTGATGCATATCGGCCGTCATTGAGTGTGTCTGACGGGTGCATCGTGATAGGAATAGGGTTTTATTTTAGAATAGTTATATTAAGTTAGTACTGAATCTTCCATCACCTGATCCTGCCGCACCGAAGAGGATCCGGAGACAAGGCAGCTTCGCGGAAGGCGAACCGGATGTCTTCGAACCCAACCTCCCTTCGAGGGATCACCTTAGCTGTTCCTCGCCCTAGGCTCTAAATCAGCCAAAGGCTTGAGGTCGCTAAGCATCAGACCGGGATCATCCGCCGAGGGACGCCTGGTTGTTCCTCACCTTAGGTTTTAAACTAGCCGAAGGCTTGAGGTCACCAGTGACACCACCATCGCCCTAGCGCCAACGACTCTGTAAGTTAGTATAAGGGAACATTGGGGGACTGCCCCTCAATGTTCATACGAGATGATGTCCTGTTAAATTTTATGTAAAACAATAGAGTCTTGTGGTTTAACGATATCAGAGCGTTTGTTTTAATTTACACGTCTATTTCCTTCTTTGGCTTCACACCCCCCCCTAGGTGATTAGATACTAGCTGCAGGGGTCCCAACCTGAAAGACCATCCCTATGCGGATGAGGACAACCTGCAGAAGTTGTTCCGGGGAGTCATTCTTAATGATTGTTCTGAATCTGTCATAAAATTTGTGTACCAGCCCATTATCTAGGATGGGTAGGAATGGTGTCCCTAACCTCTGTCCAGAAATGGATGACAGGAGAGGGATCAAGTGATGATTACTTGTTGTGTTCATTCCCGCTGGTGCATCTGGCATTGGTGACTGTTGGAAGGCAGAATACTGGGCTAGATGGATCTTTGGACTGACCCAGTACAGCTGTTCTTATGTGCTTATGATTTCCTGCTGTGTAGACAGAGCCAAAAGCCGAATTAAGCTATTTTGACTTCAGCTACTCAGTTGACGTAACTGAAGTTGCGTAGCTTAATGTGACTTTTGCCCTGATGTGTAGATGTGCCCTAAGTCTCTTAGATGCCACAGGACTCCTTGTTTGTTTGTTTTTCTCCTTCCCTCCATTCATTCCTACACTGTGGAACTTGAGAGCTGTTCCCCTTCTTATAATAGGTTTCTGGGTGTCTGGTTGGTGAGTCTTGCCCACATGCTCAGGGTTTAGCTGATCGCCATATTTGGGGTCGGGAAGGAATTTTCCTCCAGGGTAGATTGGCAGAGGCCCTGGAGGTTTTTCGCCTTCCTCTGTAGCGGGGTACAGATCACAGCTGGAGGATTCTCTGCATCTTGGGGTCTTCAAAGTATTTGAAGGCTTCAATATCTGAGAGATAGGTTAAAGGATTATTCTAGGAGGGGGTGGGTGAGATTCTGTGGCCTGCACTGTGCAGGGGGTCAGACTAGATGATCATAATGGTCCCTTCTGACCTTAAAGTCTATGAGGTTATAAAAATTATACAGCAATAACTACAAAGCTAGCTACCTAAGCATGCTATAACAAAATAAAAAGCTACAAACATCCTTTAATTATTAGATTTTATTTAGAGTTTATAATTAAAGACTAATACTTTAAATGTATCAAATCAACCTGTACAAGAGCACAGCCCCTGTATAGGTACTCACAGGATACAAAATGTAACAACTTCAGCAGCACCTGGGTCTAATACACGATGTAGTTCATCACTGTATCAGAGACCAAATGGCTTGGAGGCAAGAATTTCAACCTCTAATACACAGTTTAAGTTTACCACAAATGTGTTCCTAAAACAAGGAATCTTCAAGTCTGAAAGTCATAAGTAATGAGTTAACCATGCTCCAAGACCACCAGCAGCTAATGCTCTCAGCATTTTTTTTTGAGTTAATCCTTCTTACACACATTGCAACCCTATTTGAGAAATGCCCATAGCTTTTAAATCCTATAAACATTCAAAAGGTATATAGGGAGGGAAATGCCAAAATAGAGAATTCCCTGTTAGGAGGGGAAATTCATAGTATTTTTAAATTGTCTATTCCCTTTATTCAGAAAATCCTCTATTTTTACATCATACCAGGTGAGAGTAGCAATTGGTCCACCAAGAACAAAGGAAGGATGAGCAGAATTAAGAGCATTGGCTCTTCTCATATGATATCTAATTCTTTCCAGTTTAAGAAACTGGAACAAATCTATGGAATTATGGAATGTGCTGAGACCTAAAAGGCTCATGCCTGTCTTGATATATTTTCAAACGTGTGACATGCTAGTTTATGACACAAATAAAGCACCGGATGTTAGGATTTTGTCCTGACTAAGCAGGATTGCCTGGTCTACCTAAGAGATGGAAAAGAAGTGGAAGAGTCCGAGGGTGACAAGCAGATGACCTATGAAGCAATACTGATGCCTTAAAGTATTAAGAATCTTTCACACTGAGGAAGGAACTCCTAACTACAAAAATGAGGGAGGGGCAGCTAAAAGTGAGAAACGAAACCCAAAAGAACTGAATGAACGAAGCGAAAAAACATAGTATAGGACCTGATCAAATGGTGTACATTTTTTAGTCAAAGGCAGCCTATGGTAACTTCATCAAATAAAAAAAACCAACCCATAATGGTAAGGGTGGTAGCAGAATCTGAAAAAAGTAAGAGATTTGCTCCTTTAAATATTCCCTCCCCTGAACATAAAGGAAAACCCTGCTTAGCTTCAGAGCTCAGAGCAGGGCTGCACAGAAGAGCTGATCTCCGTGGCAAAGAAGCAGTAAGAATGAAGTTGTAATGTGAGGCTGAAGGATAATTTGAGTGCCAAAAATCAGAACAGTAACTGCTCTTACGGTCCTGTGGACATGACTAACTCATCTGTTATGGTTTTCAGACAAGAGGATTCTCTTTGTACAAGAAGATAACTACAAAAACCAGTCACCACACTCTAAGCATAAGGATCTGGTTTATTTCTGATGCAAGCACTTACTCTGTGTCTCCACAAAATGATTCACCAATGATGTTCACCAACCTGTTCTGTTCGGCTATATCTACACTTGCACCCTAGTTCGAACTAGGGATGCAAATGTAGACATTTGAAATAGTCAATGAAGCAGGGATTTAAATATCCCGCGCTTCATTAGCATGATCTCGCCGGCGCGTTATTCCGAGCAACAGCTGCTTCGAAAGTGAAAGTTAGCACCCGGACGCGTTAGTTCGAACCAAGGGGTTTGGTTCGAACTAATGCGTCCCGGCACGCACTTTCACTTTCGAAACAGCCGTTGATCAGAGTAACGCGCCAGCGAGATCATGCTAATGAAGTGCGGGATATTTAAATCCCTGCTTCACTATTTCAAATGTCTACATTTGCATCCCTAGTTCGAACTAGGGTGCAAGTGTAGACATACCATTACATACACCAGCTCTTCTCAATTGATGGTCCTATTTATGTCCTTTGCTTTTGTTGACATGTACTGGAGATGGCTCATGAAAAAGATAGCTAGTGTCTTCTCCAGAAGCCCCTTTCTTCAGCATGCCTAATGTAGATGGATGCTGAGGCACAGAAATGGGCTAAATCAACCTCAATTTAGCCCCTTTTCTTCATACAGGAACGGGAATGCCACATTCCATTCCCACTTCTGAGTCCCACTCTCAAGGCTGCAATTGCATTAGTCTGAAGGTGAGCACAAGCATAGGCGGAGAGACCTCTGTGTGTGGAAGATAAACAAGTAGGTACTTTGAGAGTTAAAATTTATGTTTGGGGAGAGGAACTGCAGAAATCTACAGGAAGCTCACACACGAAATATAAAATAGAGTCTATGCGATTCAGTTTCAGTTACGTGATATGCATTGATAGTGCAAACCAGCCTTCTTCTCTTTGCCTCTCCACCTGCAGGACAGAGGAGTGGAGGAAGGAATTGAGGTGAGAGTTCATACACTTTCACTCCCACAAGTTTACCAGTTATTTCCAACTTCTACAGCCTAACTCCCCACTATGTGGTAACTACTACTGTTAACTTCCCTTTCTGCGATCAGCACCATAATGCCTCTCAAGAACAAAAATACTGATCAATGTCCCAGCAGACAGTGTTACTCTATAGCGTGTTCTTTCCCCTTTAAACAGAAAGCTCTGCAGGAAATATTACCCTCAGCGGGATACTGGAAACCTTGCTTCTGACCTTTTCTTCTTTAAATTTAAAAAAAAAAAAAAAAAAAAAAAAAGGTAACATTGAGACGAGCGAGCGAGTGCCAGCACAGACTATTGCCACAGATAGGCAAAGTATGTTCTGTGAAAGTTTGCCAGCCTCTTCACCTTATAGGTGGCTCTCCCAAAATGTATCCTAGTCTTCACTAATCCTGTTTGGTCTTTCAGTCATTGGCTGTTCCTAGTCAGACTGTCAGAGGTGCCAAATTCTATTGTAGTTTGATCATGTGCACTGGGAATACAGTCCTAGTGTTACTTCATTTGTAACTTGTAGTGCTTTAACTCAAGTCTCTAGAGGCAAGTGACTAGTTACACTAATACACTGCAACAGATTCACCCACATACTGTCCAGATTCTGAGTTCTGTTATTAATCAGAGTAATTTTTTACTGGAATTGATTTACTGTAGACTTACCCTGGTATCTACAGAGCACAATCCGGGCCACAGTATGTCAAGAATTCTCATTACACGTGTAGAGTACAGCAGTGAAAGCCCATAGGTGAACAGGATGCTAAAATGCTGCCATATTTAAGTCTTACCTTTGTCCTCTGATTGGCAGGTGTCAATTTCATACTTCCTGAAGAGGTACTTAATGGAGAACAGGTCTTGCTAGAGGCACCTGTAGATCTATAGGCATATGAGGTGAGGTGGAAAAGACAAGGAGGAAGTGAATATTAGTACAAGATTAGAGACATGCACCTGGTATTTACCACAACAGCCTCCAACAAATCACTTAAATCTGTGTCACAAGCAGTGCTGTTATGCCAACTGCAAATACTGAAAGTTGGCAAAATGGAAAACATCCACCTTTGATAATCTCCACCTTTACCTCAAACAACTAAATTCCATCTTTTTTGTTTTTTTCGAGTATTACCCATTTTGTTATCACAAGGGCTACTGTCCATCAAGTCAACATGTTAGAAGTAAATTCAACAGGAAGTGACTTCATTGCCTCTCTTATGCCACACTGCCTGCCTGCAATACTAATTCCTTGGGGCTGGCCTTCACAAGCTATGAAAAATTGAATGCCCTGTGCAATATAATAAGCTGTCCTAAGCCCTTGTGGAGGTACCACTAGGTCAAGGGAAGAATCCTTCCATTGACCTAGTTACTATCTCTTGCAGAGGCAGATTTTGTAGAGTGACAGACAAACCCTTTCAATCACTGTAGTAAATGTCTACACTAGAGCAGCACAGCATTTCTAGGGTAGACAGCCTACCCTAGTTGGCCTTCTGTGGAGTCCAAGCCAGAATTTAAAGTGGCTTAGAGCTGCAGGATAAACACCACCTCAGGTGGATAGCTGGTAAACACAAATGCATAAAAAAAGCTCTCTCTGGTAATAGGAAGGTAGTATTTTTACTCACTTTCCCAGCAGAGGTGAATCAAGAGTCTGATATAATAATGCATATGCATAAGAGGACACCATTAAGGTTGCACATGCAGAATGCAAATCACTAGTCTTCCTTTAAGTTCTCGTTGTGATTCAAAGATGCTTGACAAAGTAGATTTTATGCTAGGCCCTATATCAGTTATTGAGTATTATTTTTAAAACACTTCTCTCTCAACCCTAAAAATCACGATGAACTATGGTATGTAACATGTTTGTTTGCCTCTTCTCCTGCTGCCAGTGCCTATGTAAAACTTGTCTTGCCCTAGGAGTTCCCAGCCTGTTCTAAACAGCATCTACACATGCAATATTTTCCCTCATATCTTACCTACTCCTAAATCCTTAGGATACGTCTACACGCAGGGCTAAAGTTTAATTAAGCTTCGCAACTTCAGCTACGCCAATTGCGTAGTTTAAGTCAAAATGGCTTAACTCGGCTTTAGGCACTGTCTACACAAAAGGAAGTCAAAGGAAGAACACTCTTCCATCGACTTCCCTTACAGTCTGAGTAAGAAGTCCTCCAGTTCAGCATTATTTTAAAATAAAGGCTTGTAGTGTAGATGCACTTTTTCTTATTTCATAATAACTGACATTATTCTGAAACAATGCTGCTGTGTAGACATACCCTTCGAGACCTGTCTGTTCTTGTTTACAGTTCCTTCTGCCCAGAGAACCATTCATATCCAGAAGGCATTGACATATGACATCTGTCACAAACGGTCAGCAGGGATCAGTCAATCAGCCAAGAGGGTTCCACCAACACTTGCTAACAGTGAGCTCAATAACAGAGTGGCAAGTGTCTTTCAATGTCCATATCTCATTTCTACAGGCTAGACTGTGATGAAACCATAGAATGCCAATCATATCTGGGAAAATATGGTAATTTAATACAGTAGGAAAACTCTCTCATCAATTGTTTGTCACCAACTCAGACAATCTAATTATTTGGTTTTTACCTTCTTACGCTGGCCCCACTGGCAGGAGAAGGAGTATCTCCTTTGGAGCTGTCCATAGTTTCTGCCACTGGAATAGACACCTCAATTGTCCTCTTTACATTTTCTAAAGAATAAAGGAGTATTATTTAATTCTGGTGAAGGTGCAATAACTCCTCCATTCATATATGATATAGCATCTTTCATTTCTGTTCTTCTGTTTTAGGTTTTTACTTCCCCTATTTTTTAAGTTTACTGTTTATATTTATATTGCAATGGCACCTTCAGACTTCACTCAGGGATTAGGATCCCATTGTGCTAGGCACTGTACCACCTCCCTACAAACACCTTTATATGCTTTTCCAGTGGTTTGTTACCAAATGGCCTCTCCCTCTTCTTAATTTTGCTTGCCATTCCACTTAGATACTTCAAGAATGGAATGAGAAGAATAGTGAGAACGGATTCTGCAGGACAGTTTACATAAAATAGTTTGGGAGCTAATCTGTTGACCTTGGACTAGCAGGAATAATAAATTTTGCATTGACTTTCCTCTAATACACGGTCGGGCAATAATTTTTGATTGGGGGGCCACTCCAAGAATGTAGTAAATGGTTAGGAGCCGCACTCTTGCATTATACTAATGGAGGAGGTGTGGGGGTCTGGGCTGGGGGTGGTGGTGCAGAAGGGAGCTTGAGGTAAGGGATTGGGGTGTGGGATCTGGAGGGAGTTTGGGTGAAGGAGGGGATTGTGACCTTAGTCAGCAAACTGCGGTGCAGGAGGGGGTGCAAGGTCTGGGAGGGGTGTGTGATCTGAGACAGGGGTACTGGAGTTTGGATTGTGGCCTGGGACAGAGCATTGGGGTGCAGGATCTAGGAGGGGTATAGGTGCAGGAGAGGATTCTGGCCTGGGGAGGGGTGTAGAAGAAGGGAGTGCAGGATCTGGGAGGAGGTTGTAACCTGGGGCAGGAGTGGGTGCAGGAATTTGGGTTGTGACCAGGGACAGCAGACTGGGGTGCAAGGTTTGGGTTGTGACCTGAGGAGGGGCGTAGGAGGGGATGCAGTGTCTGGGAAGGGGCATGGGGGCTGGAGCAGGGATGCAGAAAGTTTGGGTTACATGGAATAGGAGGGCAGAGGGTTGGGGGAGGGAGGGAGGGGCTGGGGTGCCAGAGGCAGGCTCTGGCTGGTAGACCTTACCTGGGTAGGTCCTGGCCAGCAGCCCAGCAGGTTCCTTAGCCAGGGTCCCTGCTTTCCACACCCCCAAGCTGCAGAGGCCATGTTTGCTGCTGAGAGCCTGGGGGATAAGCAGGGGAGGGGCACTTCACATACTGCCTGTCCTGCAAATAGGCAGTTGCTATTGGCCAGAAATCAGCCAATGGGAGCTACTGGGGGTGAGGGCAGCATGAGAAGCCTCTCAGCATTCAGAGATGCACACAAGACACGTCCGGCTCCATTGAGTGTGAGCAGGGGGTAGGGCAGGCAGGGCTGAGGCTCTTGCAGGCTGGATTCTGTGGCTTGGTGGACTGGATCTGGCCTAAGGACCATAGTTTGCCCAGCCCTGCCATACACTTTAATCACCTCAGGATCCTGCAGGTCCTCAGCTAGGAAAGCAGACCTGAGGACAAAGACTCAAAAGGCTGAAAGCCCTGGAACACGACAAAGAATCAGTTGACCATATTACTAAAGCGGGATTTTAGTCAGAAATTTGAAATAAAATACTGGACTTTTCCTCAGAAAAGCCCTGCAGCAGGGAAGCCTCAAAGTGCTTGCCACTGTGGAAGCACAACAAGTGGGAGGGAAGAGGCAATCCTTTGCAGCCCATGACTGACAAGTCCAGTTGTGTGTCAGAACTGTAAACAGACTAACACTCTCATTATAATGGCTCTATGGACATTAGCATGATGAAAAGTGATAACAGCAGTCAGTGACACAACTGTAGTAATTACATTACATAGAAAAGTAACTTTAGGAAAATGTTAGCTGATGTACATATAGATGTCAATGAAATTAAGCAGCTGTAAACAAGGTTAGCCTATATCGCATGGCCAGACAGCTTTCAGAGGACTGTCAGCAAGTTGATATAAACTGCTTGGAAATTGATGATTTAGCCAACTGAAGACAGTTGATACACAGGTAAATATACCTTACCGTGTAATGTAAAAAGAACTACATACCAGTCCAATTTATGGGGGGAGGTAAAATAGGTGATACTGGAGGAGAGATAGGGTTGACAGTGGCCAACTTTTGCTGATCTATCAGCTGCAACAGTTTATCACGGGCTTCTGCACTTTGGCGGTTCAGTTCTGCTATTCGTTCCTCCAAGCTCTTTGGTACTTCTTGTAAAATCTAACACAAAAGAAGTGGGTATTAGATGTGTGGGGGAGAAAGGTCCTGAGATGGTTAAAAAAAAATCTCCTGTCTCTTTATACCAAACTTTCTTTCTCAGAGCCTATTCTACACTGCTCTGTCTGTCTGTGTCATATATATGGAGGGTAATATAACCATTCTGTTTTACTACAGTTCTATATCCACTTTGCATAGCTGTAAACAACTAGACATTGTATAAGACAATGGAGAATTAAACCCTAGACTACAGCTACACTAGGAAAGTTAGGACTCCTAGTTCATCTGTAACGCTACTCCCATGGTGGTAGTATGAATTTAGGCTGTAGGAGAGTCAGGTTTTAGGTATGTTTGTTGTCTATTCCCCTTAAAGCACCGTTACTGGTGGAACTGCACTGCTGGTTAATTCCAGGTTCCAATTTTCCTAGTATAGATAAAGACCTCTCTTTCACGCAAACATTAAGGTTAAGCTAAGGGATAAGCCTTTTTAAGTCTGGCATGCATCCTTCACTTGTCAGCAGTGACTTTCACCTTGGAATCAGCAGCTTGTATTATTATCATGTCCTCACATGAGGAACTGTAGTTGCAATCCTCAGTAAAAGGGAAACTGGAAGAGGAGTCTCAAGTTGGCTCAAAAATATGAGGTTAAATAAATAAAAGACCTCCCCACATACAAACAAGCTCTATTCACTCCCTTTCAGTGAATGACAAAATTTGGGAAGTAAAGAGATAGAGACCCAGACCTGATACCACAAAAGAATACTTCGTGTGGAAATGGAGGAAGATGAAGGACCACCCAATCTTTACCTTCTATTACATTCTTACCTGTCCCTGCATGGGTGATCCTAAACTAGTGTTCATATTTTGCATTGTGATTGCTTGGTGCAGGCCATCCCCTGCCTCTTGAGAGCGATCTCTGAATTTCTTCAACTGAGCTTTGATAACAGAGTTCTGCAGTGTTAGCTCAGCTAGCGGTCCTAACAGATCCTTGCTTTGGGCATGCTCCTTGAGTGCACTGGGCTTCTGCTCCTCCCCAGAGCCAGCAGCGGCCAATCTGTCCACTGGGCACAAGGCGCTTCTCCCTTGCTGACTCTCTGACAGTAAAGAGCTCTCCAAGTCTTTGTGTGTAGAAGGAATTTGCCACCTCTGGGTGAGGAGACGATTCTCTTCATTTGTGCTCTGAGTTTCCTCAGAGGAAGGTGAGCTCTTCTGCCAGTTTGACTCTCTCTCAGAGGCTTCCATAGATGGAGAGATGTGGGATGCAGGATGTGTTTGAACTGTCTTCTTCAGTGCTGCAGACAAGGAGTAAAGGAACAGTAAACAAACTGTTTTCAACAAGGGGAATGACTGTGCAACACTCACCTAATGGAGCTAAGTCACAGAGAAGGGCTTTAACTGGAACACTCAAATAGAATGAGGATGTGGCTAATTTTCTACTCAAGGTACACCACTGACTCATGCTCCCCAAAGGAGGTCACTGCAAACATTTTAACAAATTCATTAGAACTGCAGAGTTTCACATACCAGGGTTACAAGCTGACTGGTGAACCAAACATCTCATTTGGAACCAGAGCATGCAATCAGACAGCAGCAGAGACAAAACAAAACAACCCTCCCCTCACCAAATACAGTACTGTGCTAAACACACACTAATAAAAATAAAGCAAAGCTTAAAAAGAGATTTGATAAGGCAAGGAAATGTTTCTGTACTTGTTTTATTAAAAATGAGATGGTTAAAATCAGCATCTTTCTTTTGAATAGTAAAGTTTCAAAGATGTATTAAGTCAATATTCAGTTGTAATATTTTTTGAAAGCACCATCATAATATTTTGTTCTGAGTTTCGAACAATCTCTTTTCCCCGAGATATTCATAAATCTGAGCTTTTAGTGTATCTGGATTTAAAGCTAGTAGAGGGTAATAGGATGAGATGCCAGGGAAGACAAGGAGCCGAACTTGTCAGTCTGCAATGTCAGTTAGGAACTCTGAAAAACATTTTATTTTGCGGCCAAGTCCTCCATTTTATAAAGACTGATCTCTAGTTATTTTCTGCTTTGTTACAGCCCAGAATCAACCTCAAAGGGAATGGGCAAAATACTGAAAACAGCGTATGAGTTACCGACTAAGCCAGTGCAGTTTGTCTTTACCCAAAGTACAGCATTTGCTTTTTGAGTAGAGTGACTGGTTTTAGAATTTGGAAGTAAATCTGTAGTTTAAGAGTTAAATTTCTTAAAGAACCTGTTAACGTTAACATCTAGTGGCAGGCCACTTATCACCCCAATAGCAATATAATATAAACTCTTCAGACTTCCCATATTGTTAAAAACTTACTGAAACTTAGTACATAGGCTACATTTTAAAATTATTTGTGATTAATGGTAATTTCTTTTGTGATTCATGACTGAAAGTATATTAATCAGCAAGGCCGCTGCACATTGAGAGTCAGCAGTCAAAAGAAAGACAAGCAATCGGCAAAAACACAGCTCCAGCTGCAGAGGCAAGAGACCTGGGTTCAGATGCCAAGTAGTTTCCTACAATGACAGGAACCTGGTTGCCCAAACTATGAACATGCATAGGAGGATTGCCTCCAGAAAACAAGTGGCAAGATCAAATCCTGATGAAAGTTCATTCAAAGAATCAGATATTTTCAAGAGGGAGCACAATACATTTGACACCATGTGTGAAGGATAATGATCTCATTCTACCCAGAGAGAGGGGCCACCAGCTCACCATTCTGAGAAGGAGAAAATTCCTGAATACTCCTTTGTCTAGGTGGAGATAACATCACAGCTGGCTGGAAGACATGAGCTGGCAAACTGCTGCCTGCCACTACAGTGTCTGGGGCACTTGTCCACTTGGAAAGCTTCACAGGCAGCTCCTCTTGTGAAAATACAAGCGTGTTTTCCCTTCTGAAAGTATCGGTCCGGGGCACAGTGCAGTATACAGCAGGCTTCTCTGAAGACGACAGACAAGGCAAGAATTAGGTGGATTAGAAACAATATTTTAGGATGAGCACCGAAAAATAAATTCCCATCAAAATAGGTCCTTTATTCAGGTGATTGAGAAGACCGGGGGGGGGGGGGGAATTCACCTAATCATATTTACCCTTAGCGAAGAGCTATACAGTAAGCATGTTTGTAAAGGATACAAACCCTTAAAATTCCTAAAATAACCTTGCAAAAGCGGCGAGGAATCCTGTGGCACCTTATAGACTAACTGAAGTGTAAGAGCATAAGCTTTCGTGGGCAAAGACCCACTTCGTCAGATGCATGTCTTATAGACTAACTACACTTCAGTTAGTCTATAAGGTGCCACAGGACTCCTCGCCGCTTTTGCAGATTCAGACTAACACAGCTACCCCTCTGTTACTTAAAATAACCTTATTACAGTGTTTCTGAAATGGCTTTCCAAATCTTCAAGATGGAAATGAATAAACTTCTGCAATCTCATGTCCTTTGGATCACTGATCACCCCATGAGAGACTGTCACCAAGCGCACAATTGCAGCTATTCAGAATGCACACAAATATGTATTTGGCTCTTCATTGTAAAGTGATTTGATTGACACTAAAAGTTAGCTGTAATTTCCTGTCATTCAGTGCTGCATACCCTCCTTTTCAATCCATTCTCTATAACTAGTACGCATACAGTCATCTAAACTGTGGCTGCCATTCTCATCGAACTGCTGGGTTGAGAGATCTCATTTTTGCACGGATGTCTACACATCAAAGCATGAACTCCAACCCCCCATGATATTTTCTCAGTTTTATGCAGAGGTTTTCAACTGGAACAGTAAAATACATTTTCACTGAGGGTTGTGGATGCTTTTAAAAATATCACCTAGGGATTCCAAAGTTACGAATGTGCTGAAACAACACCCACCTTGACTGTTGACTGGAACTCCAAAGTTTGTTGGACTTTGCCCTCTGCTGGGATCTGTTACAAGAAGGCTTTTGAATGCCTGAGTGAGTGAAATCAACTGTTCATCTGTTATCACCATGTATTGCTGAAGCCTTTTCTAAGGGAGAGAGGAAAAACATACAAAGTGATCAGTGTTCTAGGGACAGATTTTATTCCTCTGATTGGAAGAATACTACATTTCCCCTCACATCCCTAGTTTAACTCCCCTTATTTCAAAACAACAAGTGGAGCATCCACACTACCAAGCCTGTTATTTAGAAATAATGGGCTGATTTTGAAACAATATTCCTCATGAAAAGCAGGAGTTAATGCTTATTTTGAAATAGTTATTTTGGGAGTTATTATTTCAAAATAACTTATTTTGAAATAATTTCCTAGTGAAGACATGCCCTTAGTGACAAAGCTTTAGTCTGATCACAGTGAGGTGCCAAACAAAGGCATCTCTGCACTTGTCTCTTCCACTTATCTCTTTTTTTCTTCCTAACTACTTCAATATTTTATTAGCTTTCCTCCACTGCCCCATCCTCCTTTTCCTTTGCTTGACTGCTTTCTCTTATGGCTGCAATATCTACCCTAATCCCCCACAACTGCAAGGTGAAACTGATAAGATCTCAAGTCAGTTCCATTTCATTGCCCCTCTAGTATGAATATAGTGAGAGCAAAGGAACACATTTTTAAACATGTAGATTGCATAGTAGGTATCCACAAAGGTAAGACTAAGCTGTACTATATCAATCTTATGTCAAAGTTTAAAGGGATTTTCTTTAAAGGAACAGTGAAGATTTTATTTATATTAATTTGGAGCTTGAAGTGACCATAGTCAAGCACATAGCCCTCCCTTACAACACCCCATGCTATTACAGTCCTCAGATTCAACTACCACATTTTCAGTGCTGATTTGTAGCAATTGGGATTGGTCCTGCCTTGGGCAGAGGGCTGGACTTGATGACCTCCTGAGGTCTCTTCCAGCTCTATGATTCTATGATCCCCTCTTGCTGTTAAAGACCTTTGCTCCCATGCTGCTCTGGCAGCGTGTCAACTCAGCTACAGCTCTCTAGATAAAGAGCCTGCTTAAATTTTTCACTGCACTAGTTCCTGCCTTGGGTTTCAGAAGGTAAAGGAAAGGCTCAGCAACTCTTTGTACCTGCATGGCAGCATTTTCTTCTCGGACCAGAAGGATTTCAGCGGTCAGAGCATCAATCAATGCTCTATGTTCACTCAGTACTCCCTCAATTTGCTGCCTCGTCACCACCTCCTGACGCAGCTGCATCTCACTCTGGGGGATAAACGAAAAAACACAATCAATCCAAGTTCATGTTTTAAGTGGGAGTAATTCCAAAACTCACTATCAAGTTGGCATAGAAATACAGTTTTTGCTACCAGATTTAAGGTGACGTCAGTGTTACCATTGCAAGTCTGCTTCTGGACACTCAAACTGACACATTCTGCTTGACATATGCTACTGTCCCTTCCTTACTCTCTCAGAATAGCACAGGAGCACAGAAGGCCTTTTAGACTCCTATCTTTCTTCACAGCCCTTACGAAAAAGGACATAGTCAGCGCTTGGTGAAGCGTTTTCATTCAGATTTCAACTCCATATGATTACACACAAAAGAAAATGTAGAGTTGCTGGTGCTATAAAGTGTTTGTGCCACTCATGATTGGCTTGATCTCCCTGGCTATTCAGGTGAAGGCAGGTCAGACCAATGGAAGGAGAAAGCATTTGTTCTCCAGTATTGTTTCTACCAGGGCCTGGAACAGAAGAGATCTAGTATTTTTCTTGCTGAGGCAAAACAACTTGACTTAGAAAATACCCTCATTGGAAGGACATTAAGCAAAAGACCTTGTTGTTCAGATCCTCCTCCCCTGAGATCGACCATGCTTTCACATAAGCTAATGCAGTGGAGAGAGATTTCTTCTCTGTCCAAGGAGAATCCTAGATGCAGGCGAGAGGAAGCAATGAGGAGCTAAGAGTCCTGTTTTGCCTGCTGACACAGATGACTGCCATCTTGTCATCAACAGTGGTCAAGAGAGAGGAAAGTGTCTCAGGACATTAGTGAAAGCATAGCTCTTCAGCCAGCTAATGCTATTCCTGGATTTTGCTAGAGGTCATTTGCCCTGCTATGAGTGTGACAGCATGAAGGCTGATACAGATGTGTCTGGCAATCCTTGTTACTGCTGGATCTGAAAGAGGTTCCCTTTCAGTTTTGTATACTGTGCTATCACTGTAGGTACTTGGAGTCCCTGATGAAGTAAGATACAGTGGACTGCAAGTGAAAACCTCATTGTGATTTCACATGGAAAAAAAAAGAGAAACTGGAGAAGTCATGGCCATGCAGTTTCTCATTAATCCCTGTGCAGGGGCTCAGGGCTGCAGAAGTGAGAGGCATCTCTCCAAGCCCTGAAGCTGCTGGGGCCAGTCAGGAGAAGCCCCTTCCTCTAGCCTAGCAGGGAGCAGCCCAAGCAAACCTGAGCTCTAACCTTCTGTCCCTCCTTGAGTCTCCCCTTCCTCTAGCCCCGAGCACCCTCCAGCACCCTGAAGCCTTACATCACCTCCACATTGGCGCACATAAGAAAATGAATTCCATTCAGAAGTGGAAAAAATTAAAAGGAACACTCATGTGTAGAGAAAGCTCCACTGGACTGTGACTGTTAGATATATCGGATGAAGCAGGTAGAGTGCTCCTCCAAGTGGTTGTCTGCAAATAATAAGAATAAAGCATGTATAATCTGGCCTCTGAAGGCTGGAGATCCTGAGAAAGTGTTGAGGAGCTCTTTTTTAGGTTAAGGACAAAACTGTGTCTCTGCAGAGCTTGAATTACTCACTAGACATCTCAGATGGCTTCTGCTGGCCCTGAGAGCGGATAAGAATATCTTCTGTATAGTAACAAATGTAAATCCCCTCCTCCCAAAAGAAGGAACTCAGGGCTATCAATCTTGGAGAAAAGTGGCAAGGACAATGAGGACAACAAAAGGAGGTTCAGATATTGAAAATGAGACAATGGTCAAGAGTGAAGTACAGATACTGAGAGGCAGATGAATGGAGAAGACATGCTAGTATGTTTCCTTTAAGCCTATGGAACACAGGTAATCTACCTTCTCAACCTCCGAAAACTATGAGGGATGAGTTTTCTTTCCTGACCATGCACCAGACTTATTGATTTATGTACGGGTAGAGCCAGGAATGAGCAAAGCTATTCCATGATTTGTGGGGAACCCAAACCAGTCTGAAATAAGACCACTGGGCCTACTAGTGTTGGGGGACAGGGTCAAGGCCTCCCAGATCTGAGTGTCTTTGTACAGATTTTCACATTGATGCACTCATCAAGTAACAGTCTTGAAGAATGCTTAGAAGGCCCATTTGTCTTAACAAGTGTTAGTCTAGACTGAAAAGCTGGAAGAAAGTCAGGCCAACAAACTTTCATTATTGCATGCAGATTGATGGCTGATCATTTGAGTCCCGCAAAGATCCAAAGAATCAACTTTTTCTTCTAGGAAAGTAAAAAGGTTTGGTCTTACTCGAACTCTGCATAAGCTTCCCGGGGAGGTGTCTCATGAACACACTCGGTTGTAGAAGTTGCAAATAGCAGAACAGCCTTTAAATATGAAGGTTAGCTGTGATATAAAAAGGCAAAAAATCTGTCAAATAATAGTGGGCAGTTTGATGACAAGGTTAACAGGATTTGGCATAGTAGATGGCATTGCTGTGGCTATCAAATGCCACATATGTCCAAAGACAATATTCAGTGCTATGGCATAGTGATGCAAATTCCCATTCAATAAACCTGCTGCCAAAATCCTACAGCCTCACGGGTGAAGCCTTCTAGTTCCAATCCAAAAAAATCTGGTTGCACTTGATTCCTGAAGCTCTTGGGCAATATCTAGTTTCAAAGTTATACCATAATAACCAAATCTAGTCTTCCTCAACAGTCATATAATCTGACTGATACTCCACATGAACTGGCGCCCGACATGACTGGGGGTGTAAAATGGAAAACAGCAAGAATTGCCACATGAAGTGTCATGGGACAGATTCAACATGGAAAGATAGCCACCATAGGACAAAGAATGGAAAGGCTAGATATTATAGTAATGAAACTAAGTGGTCACATCTTAAGGAGAGGTCAAGATGACTGTTGAGGTTTTCCAAAAACCAAAAGAAAAAAAAACAAAAACAGAGTTATTGGTGCACGTAGCTGGCCAATTAGGAAGAAGTGGACAGAACTATAGCTGGAAAGATCAAACAAATAAATCTATCTTCTGATCATGTAATGATAATAGTGATATAGGCACTTCTATAAGATAAAATTATTCAAATACATTACTCAACAACCAGGGATTTTAAGGACATTGCAAAACTATGAAAACTAGGGATGTTACAATGTGTTTATTTGTGTAAATGTGTATCAGCTGATATTTTCAGTAGATAGATGTTTACACACTGTGGGAGGGGGAGCAGGAGTCAGTGTTCGAGAGCCTCTTATTGGCTCTTGTTTGCCCCACCATTGTGCTGCTGCCTCTAATAAAAAGGCAGCAGCATGGCAGCATCAGGGCGGGGGAGAAGGAGTTGGTATGTGTACTTTCAAGTCTGCTTCCCATGAGCAATTGCTTTTGAGGAGCTGCCTGCCTCCTCCACACTGCTGTCTCTGATGGAGAGGCAGTATGGGGTTGGGGCAGGTGGGAGCCAATACATGAGAGAAGCTGGCTCCTCTTGGGTACTAGCTGCTAGGGAGCCACCTCCCCACACTTGGCTGCCTCTGTATCAGAGGGAGCATCAGGGGGAAATGAGGTATACGGGCAGCCAGCTCACTGCGTGTAAACGTGTAATTGCTGAAATTTTCAGCGGTTACATATTTACAAATATAAACGTTTGTGAACATCCCTAGTGACATGGCAATGTCTGAGAGATGCTATTACAGAGGCTTCAGGTAAACATGCAGGAAAGAAGTTACAAACTAAGTAAAATTCATGGGTAACAGATGAAATCATTGCTCTGATGGACCAAAGAAAAAGTATAAAGCACAAAGATCAATAAGAGAAAGAGAGGAAACTGAAGACTAAATAAAGCAGTTTAGCAAAGTCTGAATGGCTAAATGAGAAAAGTAAAGAAATTGAATAACTGGATAAAAAAAGTGAGCAGTATCAAAAGTTAAGAACCTTGAAACTAGGGTACGATAAGGTATACAAACCCCGCACTCCAGAATAAGGCATTAAATAAGGCATTAAGGAATAGCTCTGGGCCCAAGCAGTCCCAACCACATAAAACTCCAAACCTGCACAGGCTGGAAGAAGGGCTTTAAAAAGGAGAGCAGAGCTGCCCATAGAGAGGCAGTGAAAGGGAGCAGACAGCTGTTCTCAGGGACAAGTACTGCACAGGAAGCACAGCCTGAGACCTGACCCCAGATCTGTACAAACCAATAAAGGAGAAGCCAGTGACTGATGTGATTTATTCCAGAAAGCTAGAGGAGGCTGGAGTAGGAGGTGAGGCAGCTGCTTAGCACTCCCCAACATGCCAATTGAAATTGCCCATCATTGGGCCCTGGACTGAAGCATGGTATTTTTCAACTAGGGGTTCAGTTTCTGCTGTTTATGATGCAACCTCATCTGTGCCCCAGGCCCAGGGTTATAGCCTACCTAAAGAGAAGGCTTAGAGGGGACATGATAGCAGTTTTCAAGTATCTAAAAGGGTATTACAAGGAGGAGGGGAAAAAAACTGTTCTCCTTGGCCTCTGATGATAGGACAAGAAGCAATGGGCTTAAACTGCAGCAAGGGAGGTTTAGGCTGGACATTAGCAAAAACTCCCCGTCATGGTGGTTAAACACTGGAATAAATTGCCAAGGTAAGTTGTGGAATCTCCATCACTGGAGATATTTAAGAGCAGGTTGGACAGACGTCTATCAGGGATGATCTAGATGATGCTTGGTCCTGCTGTGAGGGCAGGGGACTGGACTTGATGATCTTTCGAGATCCCTTTCAGTTCTAGTATTTTAGGATTCTAAATCTTTTCAGCCCAGGCTCAGGCTCTGGCCCTGTGCTGCCAGCGGGGGAGCACAGCAAGAGGAAGTAACACAACAGAAAGGAGAACTGTGATCCAAATGTATGAGTCTAAAAAACCCCATGCTCAGTGCAGAGTTCTTCACGGTGAAACAAGTAGCATGTAGTGCCGTCATGTCGTTCTCAGGCACATGGGGAGGAACCAGGAAGAGTTCTTAGCACAAAGCAACATTTAATCACACCCAATGATCAAAATATGCATTTAATTTTTATAATTTAAAAAGTGTTCTAAAATGGACTTACTTCAGTGGGAGACCACCATTTCAGCTCAGTGAACTCCTGCCTGTTTTATTAAAGGGAGCACAGTCTCTGCTGAATAATTAATTTTTGAAGTTGCACACTAGCCTAAGAAAATTATTAAATATTGAGGTTGCAAAGCAAAGCTCTTAGAAGTTAAAACATGTCAAAGTGAAGGATGTAAGTTAGCCCAGAATCCTTGGGCTTATTCATTCTACCTGCAGCAGCAGTTTACATAACAGCTTCTCACCTCCTTGAGATAGCGCATCAGACGACAGAGCGTGTTCACCAATGACATGGTGAATCCTGTGAGGCCTTGACCATTCTGCGTTTTCTGGACCTCACGGCCTGTACATCGCTCATATTCCTCCATTTCATGCTCCACTTCATGTATCATACGATTAAGGACATCTAGGCTAGATTTATTGCCACTGGGAAGTTCAAAGGCAACTCCATTAGCAAGAGAATCATTTCTTCTCTGTTTGGAAGTCATCTGTGCAGTTTGATTTCTTTTCACTGAAAGACAGACAGAAAGTCCTTTAAATTCCAGCTGTTGTTTCTAATAAAAATAGATGAACTATTTGTGGAAATAAGCCATGGGAGAAGTACTTTGGCACAGAACTACAATGGACAATAAAAAAGTAAAAGATAGCTGCATCTTTGACATTTAAATTAATTCATGTTGTTTCTAAAGCCTCAAATGGAAATCTGAGCTTTAACTCTAAGGGCATGTCTAAATGCCTTATTTCCCTTATTTAGAAATAACAAGGCGAGCACCACATTACCAACCCTGTTATTTCAAAATAATAGGCTTCTTAATTCAAAACTACTAGTCCTGATTGTAAAAAGGAATAACCTTATTTCAAAATAGTTATTTTGGGAGTTATTTCAAAATAACTTGGTAGTGTAGACATAGCCTGAGAATCACCCAAGTAACTTCCAAGGAGGTAGAAACCACATCTGGGTTTACACATATTGCAAATAAAAATTGAAGAAAAGGCACCAACTTCACATTTGTTCATATTGTTATATTCCTTGGCAGATAATTAGAAATTGCTTGCTGCTGACTTCCAGCAACCATGGGAATATACAGTTGATCACCAGCCTTCAGCCTGCAAGTACAAGGAGGGACAACGCTTCTACAAATCCCTAACTGTTGAACAAACAGACTGACTATGATCACAGATGTGTGCAGTATAGCACAGAAAAAGTCCCATGGAGTGCATGATGACAGCCACGTAGAAAGCTACCGGGTGAGTTAGTACGAAGGTGCCCCATGTATATTCCCTAACCTCCCACGGACTCACTATGCTCCTCAACAGAAATTAAAGCATTATAGACCTGCTCAGGCATATCTGACCATGACTTTGCTACATTTGGTTCACCACAGAAGTGCTGAGGCATAGGAGGTAGGATGGGACTTGAAGAAGAAGGTACCACTTCCACTCCTGATGCACGTCTCTTGTCTGACAAGCTTCCTGTAGTTTTTCAGAAGTCTCCTCATCTTATGAATCTGAGTGAATCAACTGTACTACAACTGCCTCTGGAGAAGATTATTACCTCCCAAAGACTCAAAACACATGGATGACATTACATGCCCGAAAACCTTTAACACACCCTTACGTGTCCTATATGGCAGCTCCCCCAACTGGCTCCCCACAGTCCTGCAGCCTGGTGGTATCAAAACAGCAATGTCTGTGTGAAGCCCTGGCAATGCAACATTGCACACTAACTATTGCCTTTTTTGATTATGAGCCAATAACAGCACCATTTGGATCCCAGTCCAGACTGATCTCTTCCCCCCCCCCAGCCACTTCATGCAAATCTATTCAGTTATGAGGAGAAAAGGTAACTATTCTTTATACTATATACAGAATTGTCAAACTTCATAAGTGTCCTATCCATATAGTGTATTAGAGACTAGCAAAAACATATAGGGTCATGAGCTTTCATTCTTGTTATTGTCCAAGGTGCCACAGGACTACTGCTGTTTTTAAAGTTAGAGACTAACATGGTTACTCCTCTGAGACTATCCATATAATGTTACATGAGAAAACAAAATTTAGAAGTTGGGATGGACTAGAGTAGAGAGTCTGTTTTGGTTTTCCCCTTTCTAAAGTAGATGTTTCCTAAAAAATTGTAGTTTCCTAAAACAATTTAAATGAAAAATGTCTAATTTTTCCCTGAAAGGCTGTTATGCCAAATTTGGAGACTAAATTCAAAACAAGGTTTCAGTCCTTTAAGAGCAAATCACAATGCAATATCTTAGCTATGTAGTCACTACTCCTCTATGTAATTTTAGCAAACATAAGAACTGAAAGTAAAATTCTAAGCAAAAAGAGCATACTGTAACTAGAGCACAAGTGGGAAAAGAGGAGGAGAATTCTTAACCTGAAAGAACTCAATTACTACTGTATCTTGGCTTTGAACACCAATAAATTATATTCATAACCAGTGTCATTTAAACAAAATATGGTCTCAACCCAGAGCTTCAAGGGGCATTGGGAAAAGGCAGACACAATGTCTCAAGTATTTTGGATGAAATTCATTTTAAAAAAGGACCACACCTTTAGTTGAAACTTGCTTTTGCTTCCTTAGGTTTGGGTTCAGCACTTGTCTCACAGTGAAAGAGGAATCTGGAGTCTGCCCTTCATCATCATTCTGTAGCCTTGAATGGACTCTCTGGACTACTTTGGTAGTATTGAGGGCTGATTAAAAACAAACAAGAAAAAAAAAGCATACTTTAACTGATTAATTACAAAATATTTCATCCAATGCACTAAATGCCCCAACAACAATTATGTGGGTGAAACCAGACAATCGCTACGCTTGCAAATTAACTCTCACAGCAAAATTACAAAACACAAAAACATATAATACTACCCATGGGCAAACTCTTTTCACAAAACAATCCCTCCATATCTGACCTCTCAGTCCTCATCCTCAACGGAAACTTTCACAACAACTTCAAAAGACTGTCCCTGGAGCTTACTTCCATAACTTTGCCAGATATTTAAAAAAAAAAAAAAAAAAAAAAACAGTCTTCATAAAAATACTGGATTTATGGTTTGTTACAACAGTCCCTAACCCACTAACCTCCCTCCACTTTTTTATCCTATGACTGGAAAGATATTAACAGCCCCTTCACTTAGAATACATCTTAACTTCTTATATTTAAAACAATGTTACACCTTTTATTTAGGTGTGAAGCTGAGTATCTTTCCTACATCCCAAAAAAAGGATCTATATAGCTCAAAAGTTTACCTCCCTCACCAAAAGAAGCTGGTCCAATAAAAGGTCTCACCCAATATCTAGACACATGCAAACTGCCAGTGCCATACTCTGCTAACCTATCTCAGATTTCTGAAGCTATGCTCCAGCTCCTTCCTCTCCACTATGATTATTCTGAGTAAGATGCTGTTACCAGCCTATGCCCCTGGAAAATTAATCTTCTAGCAGAGTAAAACTTGTACCTTCGGTTGACGGCAGGACAGTTGGAGGAGTCATAGCTGCATTTGCTTTCTGCGATGGAGTAGGTGTTTTCAGTTGCTTCTCAGCCTGTAGCTGAGAAGCCCCAGCAGTTTTTCCTTCATTCAATAACTGGAGTAGCCTATGTATAAAATAAGCACAAGAGAGTGTAAACTTACAATGGATTCTGAATTGAAAATGCTCACAACTCATCTTTACTGTCTAATCATAAAAAGCCTCTAAAAAATTGCTCAAGCAAATTCTTCATTAATGCAAAGCCTCAAACATCTTAGACAGGAGTTAAGTCCTTCCCCACAGTATTTTACTAACACAAGTACTCCTCCACTGTACACAGAGTTTGCCAATGCTGTGAGGGATCCAATGGCATAGCTCCAGCAGCAGTGCAGCTATGCTGCAGTCACTCTGTAGTGCAGATGTACACTACAATGACAAAGTGTTCTTCTGTCACTGTAGTAACTCCACCTTCCCAAGTGATGGTAGTTAGACTGATGGATGAATGTTTCTGTTGACTCAGCTACGTCTACGTCAGAGTTTTGTGTTGGCGTAGCTGCAGCATTCAGATGTGTAAAAAAAAATCCAGAGTGCTTTAGCTATGTCAAACTAAGCTTTAAGTGTAGACCAGGCCATAGTGACACATTTGACACTTCCACTGCACTACTTTAAGAACTGAAACACAACATTCAAACCAAATGCTACTTTGCTCAGTCAACTCAAAAACATATTGCTATAGTAGCAAATCAACATGACCAAGTGTCACTGAAATTTGTATATGGAATTTGTCTCTCAATATACACTGCTGAAGCAAATACAACGCTGATGGAGAACCACAATCAAGGAAACCAAAAGGTAAGTAAACCTACACACATCCAACACATACAGCAGACTGCCAACAAATGCACATCAATGCTCTTGATTATCCGAACATCTTAACTATTAGCGATCCTTATTATTGACAGCATGCCTTACACAATGAAACAAATACACGATCTACCTTCTTATAGCACTCACAATGCATTCTTTCAACCTCCAGTTACTCAACATGTAACTATATATACACACACATCTTTCTGAAAGAGAGGTGTCACTAATGAGTGGAAAAAAAAATAATGGAGGCTGTGGTGTGAATGGTTTATACGGAGGATATGGTGACATATTAGTTGTAGTGAGCACATTTGTGTAAGCTAAGTTGACAGGGCACATGCTTAACTTCTCTTCCAAGATTCTGAGGTTTTGCATTAATGGTTAACTCTTCAGGGCAAGAGTACTGTTCCTCATTTGGCATCTGCAAAAAGATGAAGTGTGCTAGGATCTACTCTTCCTGTTCTTCTTTCCTCCAACCTTTTCCACTTCTATGACTAACACTGATGCTTCTGACCCACTTTCTATTTCTAATACATCCATCTATACAATTGATCCCATTCCCTCCCTCCCTCGTGTTCTCTGGGTCTTTTCTGCTCTAGATACAAGGATGCTGTAGTGAACTTTCCCTCCTCCACAAAAAACAAATCTCAAGATTTCATTTTCCTCGGGCTACTATCTCCCCCTTCTGTCCTTCACATATGAGGCAACAGTACATACCTGATACCACTGTTACTTCAAGTTCCTAACTCCATTTTTGATTTCCCCCCCATCTGGCTCTTAAAATCTAACAGACTCTTCTTAGCCAAGTTCAAAGGTCTTGACTCCATCCTCATTATTCTTGATTTTTCTGTTGCTTTCGACATGATTGATCACACTTTTCTTGATGCATCATCTGGTTTGGGT